ATGTCATATAGCACATCCATGTGCCCTACTAGCTGCAGGCTGCTGTGTGATTGAGAGGTACAAGGGATTCTGAAAATCAAATCAAATCAGATTCATAAGTCTGTGGCACCACAGGCTGCCCAGTGTCACACACTAGACAGGATATTGCACCTTATAATTCCCATATGTAGTTCCTATATGTAGGGAACTATCAGACCTACCCATCACAGACACAGTCCACAACAGGGACTCTGTGTATCAGAGGTTGCACTGTACTCCATGGTTGGCCTGGTGGTTTTATTTGATGGCCTTGATGAAACAGGGACAGGGACCCATCGACCTACCCCTCCAGGTTGAGCCCTAGAGGGACTTCATACACATAGTCATACTCCAGACTTTGATGTTGCCCATGGATGAAATTTCCCAAATGGGAAAGGTGGTTTTTGCAAAACTTCATCACTCTGGATTCGCTAACTGCTGTGCAAGAAGGCCCTTGTGCTCTCTTACATGTTGAATGTTGCATTTATATTCCTGACTACCAGACACAGGTATAAGAAGGCTTGCAGGAAATGGATGTGGAGGTGTCTGCCACCCAGGCCTTGCAGTAGGAACTGATTGCTCAAAGGTAGGAATCCTTGCAATTCACCTGGCACTAAGTGTGCATAGCCACGCTATAGTGGCTATTGTAATCCTAAATATTGAGTTTAGTCACTCAAGTATTGTAATCCTCTTTCTAGTTTTCCTCACAATCCAAAAAGTTATGTTTGTAATCCCATTGAGACTTTACTGGAATTCCAGCAAGTTAATTCAAATCTACCGCCACCAATGCAACCCATGTGAGACTAAAAACACCAAGACAGATTCTAAGTTAAAAGGCAGCCAAGGAGTCCTAAATCCAGTCCCTGAGAAGATGTGCAGATAAAGGCCATGATCCTAGGCCTCTCCCAGAATTTCACCCTGCATGCAGGGTTCAGTGCTATGGGCTGATAACAAAGCTTCCATCGCCAGTCCCTTGCTTTCCAAAATGACAGCACATCCTGCACAGGGGAGAGCCTGGACATCAGTGTCCTAAAGGAGGCCGCATAGTACAGGGTCTAGGCTGTAGGAAGGTGCTGGAGACACATGCCAGCCCTGAGGAGGGATGCAGGGCTTAAGGCTGCTACTCGCAGAGGACTCCTCAGGGCAAGCTGGTGGCAGATACCCCAGCCACATCTCCATGCCAAGACAACCAGAGAGGAGCCACTGGCCTCCTTCAAGATCTCCCAGAGCTGCACACAGCCCTGCTGCCTATGCTCACCATGACCAGGCCCAGGTTCTAGAGCAGGGCCAGGAGGAGTGGCCAACAGCTGCACCCCACTCTCCCCCTGGGGTGGCTCCTGCACCCTATTCCTCCCCATCACTCAGCCTCAGGGGCATAGAGCCCAGGGGCACAGTGCTGTCTGGCCTAGGCCCGAGTCCTAGCCAATTCTGGTCCTGAACAGGGAATACAGTCCAGACCTGGGGGCCAGTGAGCTTGTCACACACTGGACATAGGCTGACTCACTTTGGAAAGGCAAGGGAGGGTTTGTTAGGGTGGCAGTATAAGGACATTTGTAAACCCCCCATCCCATTTGCTTTCCTTTTTTCTTTCCCTTTTCTGTTTTTGGAATTCCCCCAAACCCTAGTCTTGAAAACTTCATTTGTTTTATGGCCTATAGATTACAGTTTAGATACTTAGTTAGCAGTTAGATTTCAAATAGCAAGTGAGCATTGAGCAAATCCCCAAAAGGCCTCCTCCTCTCCCTTAATTGGTCATAAAAACTATGGAAAGGGAAACAAATGGGTTTATCTCAAGGTACCAAACTGCCTGGTGTCCACATTCTGTGCCAATTAACCAGATGTGTAAGAGGGTCTTGTAACATTCCAAAGCAATGATGGTGCTGCAAAGGTGGTATCCATGGTAACCCTGACCTTGTGAACTCACACAGGAATATATAAAATAAGAGAAAAAAAGAATTGGTGCAACCAGCAGTTTTGGTGGCCTAAGCTGACTGACCACTGCAGTTTGAAATAAACCTCACTTATTTCTGAAATCTCAGTGTCCCGTGGGTAACTTTGTGGTTGCCAAAACATAAGATAGTTTTGCCTGGCTGGATGTGAGCTGGGTATGCCTGTAGTCACAGTTACTTGGGAGGCTGAGGCTTGAAAGTTTGAGATTAGCCTTGGCAATTGAAAGAGACCTTGTTTCAAAAAGAACTTTTCTTAAAGGAGAGAGGTTGGGGACGCAGTTCTGTGGAAGAATGGCCCTGGTACCATCCCTGAGCAGCGTATGGTACTAAATTAACCTGAGAAGAATAAAGCTAGAATTTGCAATGGATTTCTACTTTGTCAGGAAATGAGGGTGAGGCTGAGCAGAGATTCTGGATGCATCCGCTCCCTTCTACTCTCACTTCTGTGTCAAGATGTCAGGAGAGTGCCCTGAGATTGGTGGTGCATAACCAAGTAGGGGTGACAGACAGAAGGGGCACGAGTGGATGGAAAGCAGAAGGCAGTCGGTGCAGAGGGTACAGTGCAGCGACAAGCCGGAGAACTAGCAGGGAGTGCTGGCCCTGAGCTGCAGAAGAGAGCAGACACTTCTGATACAAGGCCTGGGCCACGAGTGCCAGCCAGACCAGAAGCACACTGGTCAGCCTCCATGTTCTGCAGCCCTAAGGGGGTTTCTGTGGTTTTATGTCTCATATTCCACACCACGGAGAAGTTTCAGAGACCACTGTCCCATACAGTGGATGTTAGTCACATGTGGCTATTTAAATTAAGTGTGTTTAAATAAAACTAGGTTTAAAGAAGACTTAGTGTTACACTTCAAGGACTTAGTGTCACTTGAGGCTATCATAGTGAATAGAGCATACAAGAGGTGATTGAAAGATAATAAATGTTTGAATTAAAAAAAAAACTCACTATAGGAGAAGACACATTGCCAAGAATGATAGGTGTGTTCCAGGCAAGGGGAGTATTTTGAGGGGCATTGATGGCAATGTGTCTTTTACAGCAATAAATTACTTTATTTAAACATGCACTGTATGTTTTGATCATCCCCACTGGCTATATATTTTGTAGTAAATTCTGTCAAATGCATCTGTCAAATGCAGTGTGTCTCATCCATTTTATTCACTGGGTCTAGCAACATCCAACTTCTGATTCTTCCCCACAGTCAAAATGACTATGAAAGGCAAAGGTTTTGAGTTGAGTCAGGACGTCAAGCCTGATGAGACAGCACTCATGAAAAGACTTCCAGAAGTGTTTCAGAAAGTGGCAGGAAAGTGGACTGGGGTGTTTGAAGTGAGGAGGTGCCTTTTGCAGATTACTAATGTTGATATCTTTTTTTAGAGAAAAAGGTCTGTGCCTTCATTGTATTTTTGGATCACGTCTTGTAATCTTCCATCATACAGAAAGCTCCCTTAGGTGGCACTGTTCTTGAGTGACACATGTGAGTATTCATCTCAAGTGATGCCTTGGAGGCCAGTTGAGCAGGTCACTAGGTCTGGGTTTTCAAGCCTAAGGCCCAGACTACACAGTGCTGGGAGAGGCCCACTAGGGCACCATACTGTTGTGAACATCAAGTCTGGGCTCTGGGGCCGAGTTCCATCAGGGAGTCTGCAGCGTACTGGCTGCCTGCAGGCAGGGATCTCCTTCAAGTCACCTCGTCCTCAGAGAAGCACTACACTCATTCCAGCTTTTGCTGTCTTCCATCGGACGCTCAGGATCTCAGGGAGACTCCAAGTCCTTTCTGTTTGACAACGATTAGGTGAAAAACAACCAAATGCTTTTGTACATGAAAAGGGCAGGGCCAGGGGGTAGCTCCGTGGCATGACCCTTGTCTAGCTTGTGGGAGGCCCTGGCTTCTATAGCCAGCCCTGGAATAAAACAAGCAAAAAGTGAAGAAGAGGAGGGGAGGGAAGCAGGCCTTTCTGCTGTGCAGGAAGATTGGGCTCTGTGTTCAGGTCTGTGGTCGCCATGGCCAGCTGCATGGGCTCGCAGTCCTGGCCACTCTTCACACGCAGTACACACGGCTTTGTAGTGTGCCTTTGGTCACATCTGGTGATATCTGTGCAGCTGAGTGCTGTCCAAATCTAAAGGCTCAATCAAGCACAACCTGGTCCTTATGTAGATGATTCACCCCTTACAGACTTAATAAATAACACCTTTCAGTAGGGGGAAGATTCACGGAATTAAAATTATATACATATGGATAGCCAGGTCATTCATTTATTACAGGTTCAAGTTTTCTGTGGTTTGGAATGAGCAGTCTGTGTGATACAGACACAGCACACAATGATGAAAGAATCCCTTTTCTTTTCAAATTAACTTTAGAAAAGGAAAAGATCTCAGGGAGCAGAGTGGCCTGGACCACCCCAGAATGGGCTTGTGACACAGGCAAAGTCTGTCTTTAGTTTAGACACAGTATCACGCAAGTAGGATAAGAGTGATTTGCTGTTCAAAGTTTGGCTAGAAAGTACAAAAAGAAATGTAGCAGCTAGAGATAGACAAAAAGATTTTCCCCAGATAGTCCTCAGGATGGTCCCGTTTTTGTTGTCTTTTTAAATCTTTTCTTGGTGCTGGAAGGTAACTGGGGCTTTAGATTGTCTTTGTGTTTTCAGGTAGAAGTGACAAAAGCCAACAGGAGGAGGATGCGAAGAGGAGGCACAAAGGTTGAGGAATAAAGTTCACAGGAGGCAAAACCCAGAGGTCAGGCAGAGAACAAGACAGCCAGGTGCAGGGACACGGTAGGTGGAGGGTACCAAGGGCTCGTCTGTTCCCTGCCTTTCCTTCGTTTTGTAAGGAAGCAAAGGCATTCGCTAAGCAAGAGAGGGCTGCTGACAGCCCACTGTGTGTGGAAGGGCAGCCAGGACACTCACAAGGCAGGGACCGAGGAATGGAAGGACAGAGGGACCGAGGCTTACCTTTCCCATTTTCCAAGCATGCACCTGCTAGTGATATGGACACAAATAAATACCAACCACAGAACATAGTGAAGCCAGGGATAGTTTTTAAATCATGTTTTATATAAAATAGACATTTACATAAATTTTACTTTGGAAAGACCTAGGCAAAATATACATAATCAGACTGCATGGGAGAAAATCTTTATGGACACTATACTTCTAAGGGGTACAGCAAAGTGACGGGAGCGCAGTTACATACAATGGTTCCAACAACAACTAGGAGCACTGTGAACAAGGGTGACAAGTGACTTCATTTCCTCCTGACAATGAGAAGGCTGGTCCCACAGGAGTCACAGCAAGCCACATCATTTCCATGTTCCAAAGCAAGTGGTGGCTTCTACAGATCTTTTCATCCCTTATGGAGAAGGATTATCTTTTCCCCCACAAAAGTAACAAAATTACTAAGAATTTCCAAACGCACAGACTACAGAATAAAAGCAATTCCCTCTGTCAAGTGAAAGCACTCAGGCAGAACAGCAACCTTTAGGGGCGTCTCCGTGCCCTGTTGCAGTGAGATTCCAGCCACAGCGGATCATTTAAACAAAGAGCAGCACTACTGTGCTCTCCTCATGTAGAGCCCTGTCCACCCAGAGGTCAAGCCCCCAACCCCCGGGGGCTCGAAGGGCTGAGCGGGACCCAGGCTGCACAGCACTTCGAGGGACTGAACTGAGACACTGGCAGCTCTGAGACAAAGCGTGGACTGGACCTCAGATAAATGGATTCTTGGACTAAGGTCCCATCCTAGGTATCAACAAGATAAAGAATCCCCAAAGGGAGGTACGTACACCGAAATCTACCACACGTGACACAAGTACACATTTGGCGCACCCAAACAATGGGAAGGAAGTCCCAGATCTCTGGAGGTTGACACCTCTTCCCAGTGGGAATTACTGGTGACCAAAACTCACAAACTGATAATGCCCACAAACTGTGAGGGGTGCTGATTCTACACCCTAAAGGTTTTAACTGAAAAGATTCTTGGTAATAAAAATGACACATCTTGGTATGAATTGGTTGGTTGCTATAAGTATCTTATGACTTTTAATTATTTTCCTTCTTTAGAACAAAGAACTTAAAAATACTGAGGGAAATGCTGTTTTTTGGAACAACTCCACATATCTATTCTGTATCAAAAGCGTAAAGAGTAACCATAGAAATTTCTATTATTTCCCTATATATTTTTTTTTTTTTGGTACACTAAACTTCATTCCACTTGCAGCCTAACTACAAGTTTTAACAGTATACTTTTCTCACAAGGTTGCCATTTAGGTAGCTCTGCTTTGCTGTATGTGGGAGCTTCCCACTTAACAATCAACCGAAGTGAATGCAATTTGTAAACAGGCTGTGGGGGGGGGGGACTACCTGTAGGTATTTGCTCTAAATGTCATTATTAATGCTCTCCAGGCTTACTTGTTCTAAGAGGTGAGGCCACCATAAATCAAGGCAAATGTTCCTGTTTGTGTATGTCTCTTCTCCGAAACTGATTCTAGCAAGCACAGCTCAGAAATAGCTGACTGGAGCTGGAGGTATAGCTCACAGTGACTCAGCCTACAGAAGGTACAAGTTTTAATCCCAGCACTGCAAAGAAAAGAAAAAGGAGGGATACAGGAAGAACAGAAAGGGAGGACAGAAAAGAAATGCTTAACCAGAGTGCATGTGAATGTGTCAGGCAGAAAGACACAGGTGTAGCTATGAACTCTACACCAGGGACACCTCCTCCAGGTTTTACACTCTGGGTGCTTTATCTAGTGTGTGTGAATGCCAGGGCAATGCCTCTCCATCAGAGAACTGAAAATTCTGCATGTAAAACTAAGGTCCGTTTAGTGTCAGTCTGGTTGCGGCAAGTACAAAATCACCACCTGGCCACCAGTGTCAATCACAGAACGACAATGCACCAGCCCATCATGCTATACGTCACTCTTGCCAAGTCTTTGGCTCATTTCAGTCTATTACTGAAAGAACAAATTCCAAAAGTGTAAACAAACTCTTCTATAAAACTCAGAAACTTCCATGAAAGCTGCCCGTCCCGCAGTGTTGTCCATCTTGGGCCTATCAGAGCTGTCAGCAGGGCAGCCAGGAAGCTGGGGTGTGGAAGTCTCTGTGGTTGTTTCCTAAGAGTGAGTGCCACTGTGACAGGACAGACCTCCGTATCCGCCACATGCAGCTCTGTTCAGTCTAACAGAAACTAGGAAAAAGACTTTCCATTCATTTTCCCTCAGTTTAGCATTCTTGTGGGCAGGCTTGGATATTCCTGTAAGGGGAGGCTTGGATATGCTCATTTAGTCTGGCTGAAAGCAGCTGCCCAAGTACTGGGAAATTCTGTAGCAAACTAGGTACTACCTATGATAGATTTCAAAATCTTGTGCTAAGGATTCTGAAGTACTCCAGGGAGTCGGATTTCAAGTGTTGGCAATCCTCCTTGCTTTGTGATAGGCTTCATGGTAAACATCATCTTTGTATTCCCTAAAGTAAAATTTTATTTCCCTCCAAAGGATCTGCATCTTTGGTTTCATACGTCTGTGTTACAGCACTGAATCCAGTTTGATGAGTACCATCAATAAATTGAAAAATATCTGAGTCATTTGAAAATTTTTAAATAGAAACTAAATTAAAAATAATAAAATAGATTGCTAAAGCCATTTTCATGTACTGAAGTACATACACTACCACATACAATTCCTGTGAGGTGAGTGAGAGTGAGTCGCACACTGCATTGAAGACAGACTGCCAGGAGGAGAAGGAGAGGAAAACACGGCTGCTCACAGTAACGTCACAAAGGACACTGAGCATCAAATTAAGCGTTTGGCCAGGACCAAGGGACTCCTCCCTCCATCTTCCTTCCTACCCAACACTTCTTACAGAGTTCCAGGATGCACCACAAATTTCAGCATTATTAAGAATAAGAGGGGGGGCCCTGAGGCAGGACACTGGAGCCTGTGCAGAGGCCCGGCCAGGAGTCAGCCCCACATCTGCGGGGGCATGCGGGCATGGCCCCGACCAGCAGGGAGCTCTGTGTGTATTCTCATAAGGACGAACTCACTGATGATTTCACTTTACAAGGACCAAATACAAAGGTACAAGATACACTTGGTTTTGAAAAATAAAATGGAATTTATTTTGTTGTAGACACCATTTCAATGGAGAAAACTATTTCGCCGGCTTCATTTCAAAGAAGGATAAAACTGTCTGATCCAACAAACAATGCTCCTTTGTAAACAGTGCTTACTTTTAGTGTTCAAAAAGATGCTGGTGTGTGCTGACAGAGAATAGGGGGCCGAGGAGACAGAGAGACAGAGACAGAGAGACAGAGACAGAGAGACAGAGACAGAGAGAGAGAGAGGGAAAATAGGGGTTGAGGGTCAGAAACCTCGAAGCAGCCTGAGAAAGTCTCCTGCGGCCACATGACTCTTTCTCCCTCTGCAATGTTTAGGCCATCATTGCTGTTTTAATTATCCATCAAATACACAGTCCTTCCTTAGTAGCACTACAAGTAAGGCATAATTTCTTCAGAATTTGGGGTGCAAGTGTTTTGCAGTAACTTCCAAAGAAGGCATTTTGGTTACAGACTATTGTGAGGAGCTGTGATAAAAGTCATAGATAATGAATGATTATAGCAAGGGGTTTTAAATTTAGGGGCCGAGATCACTTAACAATAAATACTGTACTGCATTTCTTTGATTTTGGCCACAGAATTATACTTTGAGAGGGAAGAAAATATGATTTTGGACAAATTTGTAGTCTGTAACACTGGAAGACTTAGAGACAGAAGATCATGGTGGTACATGGACACTTTCGGGTTATTAACGGAGAGGACAGACACATGCTCAAATTCTGCCATTGTTTGCATTTAAAACAGCCCCCCCAACACTGTTTCCCAAGGAGGTTTTCTTCCATGAATGTAGGCTTCCCTTTAATAAATGAGTACAGGGAGGACCACATTTCCTGAGCCCAGGGCAGGGGGAGGAAGGAGGCTTTCTCCCATGTGGCCCCACATCTGTGAAACACACACTCAGTGCCTTGGACACCCAGCTATGTTTTCAGTGACCACAACCAAGTTAGAACTAGGTGTTCTGATTTCTTCACCTCCAAAAGACACTGCCAACCTAAACATTTGGTGGCTACTCCTGGATTCTGTTAATTTTAGTGGTGAATAATCAATACAATCTTTTTTTGAACTGTTAAAGCTGAATCATTTTGTAATTTAGACTTGTACCTTATATTCTCAGTTTTGGAAGCTGCTATTAAAACCACTATGTACAGAGAAAAAAAGAAGTATATATTAAATATTTTATAAGTTATGAAATAAATAACCTAAAAATAGATGTCAAATTGTGAGTTTAACTTTGCCTCCTTCCTCCTTTAAATACAAATATAAATATTTAAAATTATGAATTTAGACTTCTTCCTTAGATTTTTAGAGTACTCTCCATGAAATCTTCAAAATTACAAATGAAGGGCAAATGCCAGGTCTCGGTCACTTATGCTTTAAGAACAGAATTCTCACTAAGCCTAAGAAGACAAATAAATAGAGCTCTTTTTCCCTCTAATTAGAGTCTATGAAGATTTTGCTATATATATTGTAGATTCCCCAATGTTTAAATATATTTTCAAAAAAATAATAAATTCATCATGTCTAAACATTCAGATAATAAAGTAGGACATTTCTTAGTTAATATCTTTAATATTTTCTATGTAGAATATACTATCTTTCTCCACCTAAATAACAATATATTTGAGGGTGGAAACATTTCTGATTTTAAATGCACTTCTGAAATCTGAAGAGTAGAACCACTACTCTAGTAATATTTGCAACAAAACTCATGATGTAAAACATTAAGGGCATCACGCTCCTTGCTTTTCCTGCAGGAACAAACACACTCATACAACTCCAGAAGCTCCCTTTTTCTTGCATTAGGCAATAGATAAACTTGCACCAGTGCAGAATTTAATTTACCCCTCAAAAGGTCTCTATTAGCATCCTTGGGGAGATTTAGATAAAGCTCACTCAGCAGTAGCCCTTTTTCTCATATATTCTGCGTGGTTCTACAAGAGCTATTAGATACTCATTTCTGGTTCAGGAGAATTCACTGAACCTCCACTTGGTACACCTTCCTGAACGGCTCACTCAGAGGATTTACCCTTTCTGAAACAGCTCACTCCATGAAGAGCAAATGCCCTCCTTGATAGCATTTCAATGCTTCTGTATTTCTAGGTCTAAGAGTCTAAAGAAGAAATGGAATTAGGTCCCCAGGAGGCAAAAGCACAGAAATGCTACCTAGGGAAAGAGGGACTCAGACTGAAGAACAGCTATAAAATGTGTAGTTGCCGAGTTCTGCCCCTCTCAGAACTTCCTGCCTTGTCTGCGGTTTTTCTTCCTTCACGGCAACGCAGATCCTTCAGCCAGGGGTGCTGTGAGAGGAAAGCATCACAGGTTGTACTGTCATCTGTTCTCTTCTGAAGCCACGAGCACTGTCCTATGGTCCTGGGCTCCGTGGTGCTACGTCTGATCCTTTTCTTGAACTTCCTGTAGTCGCTTTTCTAGGCGATCCAATTTGGCGAGGTTTTCCTTCAGCAGCTTGCTGTCTGGAACCAGCTGCAAAGCTCTCTCATAGTAAGTCCTTGCTGACACGTAATTTCCCTGTGGGGAAGGAGAGAGAACAATTACACTTGGATCCACTGCAACTCTGAGAGGAGGGGTTGGAGGAACTGACCCTGTGCTGCCCGACACTAAGGTTTGCACAAGGAGACCTTGTCTGGGTGTGCAATTCCATCCTTGTCTGCTGGCACTCTGGAGAACTCATTTGTTTTAAGTACCTTGCAGGTGGAGAATGCAAAGGATGATGCAGTGAGCTGCCAGCAGGAGGAGCGCCTCAGGAGGAGCACCGGCTTCTCCCTGTGCTCCCGTGGTGGTGGTGGTGGGGCCCTTCCAGCCATACAGAGCCTTGTCTGGGAGGCGGGTGTGTTTTTGAAAACACTAATGCTAGTAGTTGTCTACTAGCATTACAAAAATGGTAGTAGTTCTTCTAATCTTCAACTTAAAACCTGACAGCAACCTCTACCTCAAACATGTTTATATAATAAAAAAGATGGTAAAAAGATGCATCAAATTTATGTGCCACTCAAGGTGTGTGGCTGCATGTACCAGCAGGACGCTTTCACAGCAGGAGGCTGTCACAGTGACCCGCTAGTCACTGTGACCCCACACTCTGCTGGTGCCCTTCCGGTTCACCTGAGTCCCTAACAATCAACCATGTGTGCCCAGTACCAGACAGTCTCTGGAAAAGGTCGCAACTCTTACCTTCCCCGGCCCCTTTCCTGATCTGAAATGAATTATTTATATCCTTTATCAATTTAGATCTGTATCGTACAGTCCCAGAACTAAGATTTCATTGTTTTTTCCATTCTGAAAAGCCCAATTTGCTCCATCTGATTCTTGGTTAGTGCCCACGCAGATGGACAGTGATGCTGCATTTCCATCGCAATTTAAAACTGTATCTTAAAGTAACAGTACTGAGTGGTAATTAGCCACTCACATCTTCCTGATGCTCAGCTGTTTTCTAAATAAGTTACTCTGTCTCCAGAGTCCAGACACTGCCAAGTATACAGGGAGCTCTCACTGGAGGCCGGAGGCCATCGATGTTGCTATTATCAGCAGAGATCCACTCTGCAAGGCATGTTTGTCACACCCTTCACTGGTCGCACTTGGTGAAAGGGACTGTGTCAAAGGGTGAGCAACTGGACACTGGAATCCCGGTGCTTATGTGTGCAAAGAAGAAGAGTATTTCTGAGTATTAACACCAACTCTGAAAAAGGCTAACCAGACTGCTGAAGAAGTGCGAATGTGGGTTTGCTGCACTCAGTTCACTTGTTTCAACTCATGCCTTTATCTTGCAGTGTGCTGTGATTTTACTAAGCTGAGCACAGGCACAGCGACGCCCGAGGCTCCTCACGGTCACCCCTCCAGTAGCTGGTGCCAATGTTCCCCTGGTGTGCCCGCTGGATTCAGGTTTCTCTCTCTTGTCACATAAAACCCACTTCATCTTCTGTCTCTGTGATTGCTCTTGATTAAACTGGAAGCCCTATTTCCTTTTTTTTTTTTTAAATCATATCCCTTAAACCAAAGTCTCCAGTTCCACATTAGGTAGGGAATTTTAATGATATGTTTTCTAGAGCTGTGCTAATATGATCGCCACTGGCCATATGTGCCTATGGAATTTTAAACTAATTACAGTTCATGATGAATTTCGTTCCTCAGTCACTCCAGCTGAATGGCTGCATGTGGCTGGCAGCCTGTGGTCTGCTTGGCCATGTGGCTTTCTCATCGTCTGTCAGTCTCTCCTGGACAGCGCGCCCTTCTACAGAACGTACCTTCCTGTCTGGAGGTGGACCCGGAAGAGTATATGCCATGGGGGCTGGGGCTCAGTAAGCTTTATCACAAGATACGCTTTATAGTTTCATGTCATATATAAAACTCAATACAAAGTATTACAGGTAGAGCATTGTTAATCTAAAGATGCAAACTGCTTGCAAATCTGAAATAGTTTTGAGACCCCGCATGATGTCACAGGGGTCCACAGCACTTGGCCTCATGTACAATGCAGAGTGTAGACAACTGTCTGCAAGCTATGAGCGTAAGGTGCACGCAAAAGAAAATTTCCTATCTGCAGTGAGGTCCCATCTGTGATATCTACCCATGCATTTATCCATCCATCCGTGCAAATATTCTAAAACCTGAAAACGTCCAAATCTGAAACCCTTCTGTCTCCAGGCATTTAGTCTAGGACAAGGAAGCTATCTAGGACTAGGCAGGAGGAGTAAGAGACGACCACTACACTCATCTTCTCCCACCCGGGGCACCTCCTTGAAAAGCCTCATTCTCACACTCTCAGCCTCCCTGCGGCTGGCACCGGTGCGGTGCACTCTCTCTCTCCTCTCTGTCTCTCTGTCTCCTCTCTCTCTGTCTCCTCTCTCTTCCCTCCCTCCCTTCCTCCCTCCCTCGTGCTCGCGCGCTCTCTCTCTCTCTCTCTCTCTCTCTCTCTCTCTCTCTCTCTCTCTCTCTCTCTCTCTCTCTCTCGGTCTTGTGCTTGTCATATATTTTCCAATTAACAATGTCAGTTTCCAAGTCTGTTGCTTCACCTAAGGCATATTCCATCTGAAAACACTGAGTGCGTTGTTTGGAAACATAACTATTTTGCACACACCTACAATGTTTAAACCTACAATCGCACTGTCTCCAGTAAGCTCATCCTCTGCTTCCCAGCTGGCCAATGCCAGGCACCCCAGGGTCAGGAAGACCCAAGCCTGGGTTACAGAACCTGACCTCTGGCCCCATCCTGTCCTCTGCTAGGCCGAGGCTGCTGGCCACAGGGGTAGTGCGTCCCCTCACCCCCATCTTCATGACTCAGTTGTGTTCTGCTAAGTGTCTGATTAGTGTCACTAAATGGTGGTCCTCATGAGGGCTCTACTTACCTGCTGGTCACAGCACTACTCTTTATTAGGGCAGAGACTAACAGAAGTTTGGTAACAAGGTAGCAGAGGAATCCTTTAAAAACATAGTACACCACAGGGTTTTCCTCTTCTAACTCATTCAAAGACCCTAATTTATTTGGCATAAAGGCCGAAGTTTCTTTAAGTCCTCTTCAAGGTTCTGAGTAATCTATCCTCTGACCTCTCCCACCCCTTCTCCTGTCCTGGCCAGGCTGCCTCCTTGCTGCCCTTCACACACAAAAGGAAAGCCTAAACCCCAGGACCTTTGCACACACCCTGTTACATCAGACCACGTAGCATGCCTCCTTCAAGCCTTTGCTCAGACCTCCCTTTTGACTGGCCCCAAAACCACTTTAATTTGAAATTTCAGCCCCTGCCTGGCACTCCCAATCTGCTCTTTCTTTACTTTCCCTAGCAATTATCACCATCTGATAGATTCCAGTGTATACACGTGCAAATGAATGAATGGATTCATTGCCTGTCACCTCCTACTAGAATGTCAGCTCCACATGATGGTTTTGACTTCTATGTTCACTTCTGTGTTCCCGGGACCCACAAGAGCACCTGGCATATAGATGCCATCCCCGGATGCTTGTGGGATGAATGAATGAATGAACCCTGGAGAACCTTCTGACTTCATTAATTATAATAACAGTCCCCTGTGAAGGTCATCTTCCAAGTTTCTTGGCAGAAGATTCATTCAGTGTTAGCTTTTCTTATTCAGGGGAGAAGAAAAAACCAAAAACTTAGTAAGAAGTTAGGGGGTAACATGTGTCTTGGACATAACCCACAGGAAATCAGGGAAATACATTCAGTGTTGACAGGACATTAACAGTGAGGAAAACAGGCCAAACTCTGCTTCAGTGGGGCCTCAGTTCCCATAGAACTTCAGCTATTGTCTGATGATACTCCTTGTAAGTAGATATATTTCCTTTATAATAAGGAAATATACTTATTCATATATATATAAACATATAGATGAATGGCTTCGTGCTTTTGTTATCTAGAAAACACAAAATGACACAAGCCCCACTAATTTCACTTTTGAACACCTACATTTTCAGGACTCAAGTGATTTGAAGATGAAATTAAGAGTGGGCTCTTGAGTCCTTCCCGAGAGAGGAGGGATGGGGTGCGCAGCCTCCTACCTTGATGTGCTGGATCCCCCCCATGTTCATCCAGGCCTGCGCCTGCTCGGGGTTCAGGGCCACGGCCACTCTGTAGCTCTGCGTAAGAAAAAATCCTCTGGTTAGGTAATGAGAACTCGCTTCCTGCACTCTGCACTCAACAGCATTGAAGTGGTTAATGCAACGGAACCAGCCACGCCCGGCTCACGGGAGGCCTGCTTATTTCTATTATTTTTCAAAGTCCATGATTCTAAAGTGGAAGAAACTGAAATGTGCAATTTCTCCGCAGAGCTGATCTGCGGACTCACGCCATCTGAGGCTGCCTGCCGGGCATCTAGGGGATGTCTATAATAAAGCGTCATTTCCCGCTGGCCTTGACCTGCAAGAAAACTACACTTTTTACCCTTTTTCACTATAAATTAGACTGGTAAGAAAAAAATCCCTTTTTGAAATCACAGACTCTGGCGGCCAGGAGTATGGCTTAGTGGCAGGGAACCTGCTCGGCATTTGTAAGGCTGTGCATTCAAACCCTAGCATCGAATGACAACAAAATAAAAATCAGAACCTCGAGTAGTTTGCAGCCAGCTTGAACTTGGTGCAGCAGCCCCTTCAGTGATATCACTGACCCGGCTACTCAGTCCAGGCCTCCATCCGAAAGCAAGATGCTCACCCATCGCCCCATCAGGGACAGTTTCAATCATTAGGAAGTCTTTCTTTTCTTTTTGCCTGTTGAAAAGTCTTCTAGTGATATTGGATTTGGCTGTACAGGATTCACTACGGATCATGGAAGAATTCATTATAAACTATAAATTTAGTAACAAGTTTTACATATTTTACCTCAAAAGCTTTATCCAGAAGGTTCTGCTCCCTTAGCTGGTTGCCTTTCGTGAAAAAAAGTTCAGATGCTACTTTTGGGTCCTTTGGTTTCAGCTGGAGGGCCTTGTCTATAGCATCAAGCGCCTGCAGGGGTGCGGAATAAAGATGATAATCGAAATGAACACAGATTTATGATGAAATGTACACAGTGGCTTCACATATGTTAGTGGGGCAGAACGAGCAAAACACATTTTTTATGCTTTCATTTTCTCCTTGAGAATTAATGGTCTTAACAAAATAATTTCCTTATACTCCAGTCACTAACACATTGATGATGAAAACCCAAAACAAACCCAGAAAAAGTGAAGGTCTCTGATCATACTCTTGGTTCCCTCAACCCCCGCTTCACCTCTGCAGCCTTTCAAAGCACATACCCGGTCATGCCCCACCACTGCATAAAACCCCAAACCTTTTCCCAAGATCAGAACAAAGCCTCTGGGGTCCCAGCATCTTTCTTTGCAAGTCACACTGCGACCCTGCTCTCTCATGCCCTTCCTCAGACAGGAATAGGCCCTTTGCTGCTGCCACAGGACCTCTGCATAGGCTGTTTCTAGTCCAGAATATTTTTCCTGTTGCTTCTGCTTAATTACTCCCTTAATGATCTGGCCCTTCCTCCACATCATTTCATGGGGAGATCTGGCCTTTCAGACTGGCCAGGAACCCTGATTACAGCTCTTAATGATGTCACCAAGCATAATTACCATCGCACTAGTGTGTAATTGCTTGTTCAGGCTCGGTCTCCTCTACTACAAGCAGCCTGAGGATAAGCGCAGTGATTACGTGTTTTGGCATTATACTTTATTTCTAGCATCTACTGCACAGCAGGCATTCCACAAATATTTTGTTGAGCTGGTTCATGATTTCAGTTATGTGACTTTTCAAGTGGAGTTAACAACAGTGACTGCAACACCGGCCTGCCTTTCAGGGCTGCAAGGACGATTCCACGAAACCATTAGAAAAAACTCAGAAAATGCTAAAGGCACATGAATGTCAACCTTCTAGAACTGGCTAAAATCAAACAGATAAAATTACATCCACTCTTTAGACCAGGGAGAAGCCAAAGCATACACATTTCCCAGGGACATCTTAGGCATTAAGGGGCATCTGTGAGGAGCTCCTGTGAGGCTGAAATCCCAGCCTGTGGCATTCCTGACTTTCCGGGCACGGAGGCTGCGTGCCACTGAAGCTGCGTGCAGAGAGGACAGAGAGGGTGTGGTACCTTCTTGTGGGCCTCCTGCTTGCTGTAGATGGCCGACAGGAGGCGGTAGCACTCCAGGCATCCGGCCTCCTCCGACACAATGCGCTCCGTGATCTTCTCTGCTTCTTTCGTCTGGCCCATCACAGCCAAAACCTGCGCCTGCAATACACATGGCCCAGACTGAGCTGGGGCTTTACCGCTGATCCGCACACGAAGCCCTCAGCAGAGGCACTGAGAAGACAGCCCTGCCCGCTCCTCAGCATCTCCTCGTGGCCCTCGGGGAGGCGGTGCCCAGCTGGGAGGTGTTCACTAAGCTGTGTGCGTGCATTTGTGTGTGCATGGCAAGGCTGACCCGCCAGATCCAAATACAAATACTTCTCTACAATTTCAAAAGAACAGTACGTGTGGCCAGAAGACAACAAATTTGATTTATTGCACATGTAAGGGAAAGAAGCTCTGAGCACTGTTGATAACCATGCTAACATTCCAGCGGCACTGTGGTCCTCATTCTTTGGCCCTGCATGCAAAAATGCTTAGGTTATCGATAAAGGAGGGTAACTGCTGTGACTCACATGTCAGAAGACCCTTGTGTGCCACACTGCAGTAGGGTATGTGTACATGCTTATGCATCTGCATGTGTACATGTGTGTGCACACACTTAGACATGACAGAGAAGAGCACATCAACATGTTAAAAGCTGATGGAGCTGAGTGAAAGGGTACTAGTGCATTTTCCTATCTTTGCAACTTTTGAGTTGCAAACTTTTTTGCAACTTTTTGAGTTTTGTTGTGCAGAGTTGGGAGTAGCACCTGGGCCTCATTCATGCTGAGGCCGGGGAAATGGTCTACCATGGAGCTACACTCAGTCTTGCCATGTTTTCTAAGTCTGAAATTCAAAGCTCTAATGAATTTTGGTGTCCATGTCTTCAGGGGAGAGCTGTAATCTTGTGATATGGGTGTCACGTAGAAGTGGCAGATGGCATCCCTGTGCCAGCTCTGTGCCTGTGGCCCAATTTCCTGTTATCTCCTCCCCGACTCACCAGTGCCAGATGAGGCTCCCTCTGCAAAGGCTGGAGTGCCGCAGCCTCTCTGTACACCTGCAGTGCCTCCTCATAGCGGCCGGTGTTATAGTAAAGTGCTCCCAAGGGCGACAGAGTCTCGGCTTTACGGGCCACCTGCAGGGCTCTGAGTTTGGACAAAGGCAAGCTGATACTTGTAAATGGCACATTTTTGAAGATATAAGCTCAGTCAGTCTCTAAGGATAACAAAATCTCCACTGATTGCCAACACAGGACATAGTCTCAGGGCCCCGCTCAAGGCAGATGAGCAGCCTTGTCCCTGCTCTGATGTGCTTGTCTTTCCTCTACTCCCACTCTGGCTATCTGTGGTTGGGTTGCAGCCCACAGCTTTAGGAAATTATGGATTAACAGAAGTGGATATGAAATGCCCACCACGACTTAGCATGATGGTCAACCAGCAGAGAAAAGTCACTGACCAGGACACCAGCCAGAGTACTGCACCATTCTCTTTGGAAATGGGGATCTGTACACTGACCTGGTGGGCCTTGTTAATATTGTTTCTTCTAATTAAACAGAAAGTAAGGAAATAAGCCAGGCACAGTGGCACATGTCTGTAACCCCAGCCCTCGGGAGGCTGAGCCACGAGGATTACCAGGAATTCAAGGACAGCCTGGGCTATATAGTGGATTCAAAGCCTGCCTGAATTACATAGCCAATCCCTGTCTTAAACCAAAATTAGACCAAAACAAAACAAACGCAAAATGAGGAAAAGGATCTGTACCGTTTGTACCATTCTTCAGCCATGCTGTTCTCGCCCAGGGACCTGTAGAGTCTGCCCAGGTTCACCATGGCCACGTGGTGGCTGGGGCTCAGGGTGACAGCCTGCTGGTAATGGGCCACTGCCTTCTCTGGGGAGCCTGGAGAGGCGACAGTGGGGAGAACAGAGGGTCTGCGTGAGGTGTTACGGTCCATCACCCACCATCCCCTGGCTTCTCAGCCTCACCTTACATTGGACTGTTCTGTTCTTCACTTACATCCCCAAAGAAATTAACAATAGCACAGCAGTAAAAATTGAAGCCTGTTTCTTTTATTTGATTACTGTAGTCAAAGTGTCTTGCGGCCATCACCCTCGTGGGTGCGATGTTTGGGGTGAGCAGTGAGTGTCACTCACCACGCTGATGGGCCACCTTACTGCACACACAGGGCGGAGTGCAGGACAGCGGCTCCAGCTCTCAGGCAGGGCCCGAGGTGGCTCTTTGTCACTACACCAGATGTGTGAGTGTGGTGCTGCTCCAGCCTGAAAATCTCTCTTCATATTTTTTTATTTAAACAGCATTTGTTTAATGTGACAGTAAACAACAATAATGCTCCCTTGCAGGTATCCAAAGCATTATGCATTTTAAAATGCTTTTATTTGCATGACCACTGCAGGCAATCTGGACACTTCTGATACTATTTAGTTGCCTCTTGGGATTCAAGGAATATTTAAAGCAGAAACAAAAACGAAACTACTACTTTACAGAGATAGGGATAAACTGCAAAGATCCAAAGAGTCCTGACAAATACCCCGAGGGAGTGAGGTGGAGGCCAGGATGACTGTGACACCCCTGGCTCCCTGAGAAGCTCCCTAGTGGCATACGCTGTGCGGCTGGACCCGAGAAGAGTCTGCGCTTCTCAACAGAATCGGACCTTTCGAATCCGCAGAAGCCTCCCAAGTGCACTGGCTCTGAACACAGTGCAACTACCAAAACCAAAAGATCCTAACTTGGCCAGCATGTGGTCACTTTCCTTTTAAGGAGAAGGGGGTAGAACTGTTTGCTGCTGAAATAAAGGACCAAGGTACGGCTAAGAGGACTCTTCTGGTCTTATCTTTATGACTTAATTTATCAGTGTGTGGCTGATGAACCAGCAGGTGGCGCCACACAACAATTTTACATGCAAAAATTAGGTTACATTTCCAAAGGCATATATTCTGTAAACAGAAGAGCTTCACATATCCTAGAAAACACAGAGCTTTTCAAGAATTCCATATTGAAAAAATAATTAAAATGGAATATTACTGCAGGGCAGCTAGTCTAGTAGTCAACAAGAACAAAGTGGTGTTTTACATTAAATTCAAGTATCATTTCATTACTTGTAAGTATTCATTACATGGTCACGATAGAAAGAGCTCTGCACAAATCATAACTACAGCCCCTGCCTAGTAATGCTTTGCATTAAATAAGATAAAGGGGATTTTACATAGCACCCATCATAGGAGAACCCTATCAGTTATAATAATGCTGATTCTGTAATACATATCAAAAAGGAACAATGAAATGATTGCAGAACCCTCTTTTCTCAGTTACAGTAAAGTATTTACCATCTGCTGGTGGTGGGTTTACAGCGGGTACTGCAGTGGAGTAGGGGACCATCTCACCATCAAGGACTTAGCAGCTTTTGTAACAGCACTGAGAAAACAGTCCTCAAATTGGCAAGGTTCCCACCCTCAGTCTGTTTTCTCCAGACTTGCTTATAAGAAATAAGCAGATTTTACTGAGCTGAGCTCAAAGGTTTGGGGAAAAGACAGCCTGCGTAACTAGGCGACCCCGGGAGTATGAGTTTGCTGCCAAGCCAGAGGACTCGGTCTCTGGGGATTACCAGGGTGACTGTCACTGCGTGTCACAGGCAGTTATTACCTCGCTCCCCAGAAAGCTTCCTGTGCACAGCACTTACCAGAATCAACTAAGAAGACTCCATAGTTGTTGTGTAAATCCGAGCTGTCTGGACAGTTCTTTATTCCAGCCTGGTATATTTCTTCGGCTTCTTTAAATCTTTGCTTTTAAGAGAATAAGAAACAGGTATGCTGAGTATTGGTGTGGAACAGTAACCTTACTGGGCACCTACTTCAACAGGCCTAAGCTCAAACACTGTGAACCTGCCTGGATTAAAGTTGACATTAACGTGGATACAGGAGTAGGACTCCGTGGCTGTGTTTAGCTCCTTCAGGGCAAACAAGCCGATGCTTACTAATTGGGACAGCTCGGGGACTGGGCGCTACCTTTGGAAAAGGTCTGAAAGCAGCTGCTTAGATGGGGCGGGAAGATCCCGGGAACCAGCTCCATGGGCTGCGCTGAGGCAGGGCTTCCTGGATGTGGGGGCACCAAGGGATGTGTTTGACAACTGCATGTGCAGAAAGACTCCTCTTCTCTGGCCTACACTGTAAGGCTGATTTCAGGGGTTCTTAAGGCAGGTGGGGAGGGAAGACTGATGCAGATTATGGGGCGGGTTTTGCGCCCTGACCTTTCTTTGCCTGAGGCCTCATTTCTGCAGCTCCCCAAACATGCACTGCTTTCTCAGCCTGTGCCCTCCACCTCCACGCTGGCCGAGGAGAGCCGTGCAGCCGCAGGGCCACTCTAAGGCAATGCCCAGACCAGTCACCGCCTGACCTGGCAGACCGCTTTCTAACTGCCTTCTTCCTCAATTCATTTAAAGATTCAGTTGAAAGAAGGGCAAACTCAAGTCACTTGTAGGAAATGGATGCACCTTGAGACCATAACGTTTAGACATTTAGATAAATGACATACAAGCTTCGATACTATGTGGTTCCTCTTACATGCGAAACCCAAAGTATAAATAATTTAAAAAACAAAATACAAGAGACATATACGAGAGGGAGAGAGATCTTTTGTAAATGGTAAGGGGGACAAGAAATGGAGGGAGGGGATGGAGACTCTAGGAGGATTAAGGTATTACATACACGGGCCAACTCCCCACAGGAACGCAGTCATCACGCATCATTATGCACGGCAAACATGTACTGCACTAATAAAAGTAAAAATCTATGAAAACAAAAGGCTAACCAAACGAAAGAGATTCACATTAACACATTTTAATAATTCAGAATTAACTTTTTGATACATGGTTTCTAACTCTCTGGGACAGTCATGTCACTTTTTTTTTTTTTAAATATAGAAGTTAAAATCTAGTTAATCAAAAGGTCTAAGAATTATCCACCGGTAAACACTTTGATTCCCTGGTGCCGTTGTGAAGGTCAGGTAAAAGGGAACCACACAGCAGTTTTCATTAAGGCACCCTGATGAGGACAGGCACTTAAAACCTCTATTGCAAGTAACGCCTGCTGAGCTTCCAACCTGACATCCTCAAGGGAAGGGACAGCTCAGTTTCTTAGGTGTGTCACGTTAAGTCTGTGAATAGATACTCACACCAAGTGCCAAGCAGTAAGCTAAGATCTGATTTGACCCAGAAGGGAAGTAGATATTTTATCCTCTGTAGAATGACCACAATCATCTACATAACTAAGCAGCATGCAGGAAAAATGCTAGGGTTATATTTGGCAAATATTGCTTATTTTAATTAAAAATCCATATTGCCTCAAAAATGGGGGTCCATGTTCCTAAAAATGTAGAGCTTTTTTCTTTCTTTCTTTTTTTTTTTCTTTTTTTAATCGGTACCGGGGATTGAACTCACAACTGCCTGCTAGCAAGGCAGGCTCTTATGCTGCTGAGCTAAATCCCCAGCCCTAGAGCTTTTTTCAACAAGCTGTCCAATTCAATATACTTAAAGATGAATGAAAATCTCAAAATATTTCTTTTTCAATCTACAAAGAGAAGAAATGTTTTATGACCACATTGTCCACTGAGGTTGACCACATTGTCCACTGTGGTAATTTATAGAGCATCATTTATATAAGAAATATATACATAAGAAAGAGCATCAATTATATATGAAAGACACAGCTAGGTATGTTATTCACTTGTTCAGTCACTCAGCACCATTAACTGTAATCACCGTGCAAATTACGGTACAGAAGCTGAAGGAGGGCTGTGATGCTTGGCTGCACTGGGTTAGAGCTCAGCCCTATTCAGGTATGTCTGTGCACTCCTACTTTCCTGGAAAGCAGAAATCACAATGGTACCTGTCCCCTGGGTTTGTTGTCAGTTAGATGTTAAAATTGAAAGACTGGAGCACTTACAGTGACGCCCAGCAAATGCCCCGTGCGCTAAGCACCATGGGCCTCGCAGGGATTACTAGGAGGGGTGCTGCATTACTATCATGCACTGCTGTACTACTGGGACAGAGATGTTACAGGCACCAAGAACAACATATGACCCTTCTGTTTAAGCGCCACGAAGACCAATGACCTAACAAGTCCAACCATAACGGCACTCTTGTATGTACTTGTGCTGTCATCTATCTATCTATCTATGTATCTATCATCCATCTTTGCAGTTACTATGGGACCAGAGGTACTCTAACACTAAGCTACATGCACAGGCCCTTTGTCCTGAATTTTGTAACAGGGTCTCACCAAGCTGATCAAGCAGGACTCTATTGTGATCCTCCTACCTCATCCTCCCCCAGGGCTGGGATCAGTATGCTTTTATATATGCTGTGTGTGTGTGTGTGTGTGTGTGTGTGTGTGTGAGAGAGAGAGAGAGAGAGAGAGAGAGAGAGAGAGAGAGAGAGAGAGACAGAGGCAGAGGCAGAGACAGACAGAGAGAAAGAGAGAGAGAGAGAGAGATGAATACTGGAACTTAACATAGGGACTTCATACTGAGATACATCTTCATACCCTTTTTAAAATTTTTTACTTTGAGATAAGGTCTTTCTAAGCTGCCCAGGCTAGGCTCAAACTGGTACCTTTCCTGCCTCAGCCTTCCAGGGCACTGGTATTACCATGCCTGGCTCTACATACTTTTTACTGTTGCAGACGGAAGTCCGTAAATAAATTGGTCTTCACACAGGCATTTAGTTGGAAGAGGGCTGAGTATGTTAAAAGCCCTTTCAGGACTGCGGTCATATCATTTAGCCATTAGAAAGCAGCTGGACACCCAGGAGATAGTGAGGGGACAGGCAAGTTGCTTCCTTGTCCTGGTGAGGACACTGCACAGATCTTCCTGGACCTGGGCCCTGGCAGCATCCACACTGTTGGAAAGGTGCAGAAGGAAAGGGTAGCTCTTTTCTCTAGACTAGTGAAGGGTGGATGGGAAGGACACTGTCGGGGTGTGGCATCATGGCCGTGGGTCTGGATCGCCTTCTCGAAGTGTTTTCCCTGACCCCTGACAGAATGCAGTCATGGGGCAATCTCCCACTCACCACTGGGCTTTCCTACTGTGATGACCTGGAAAGTTAGGCCACTGGATATTTAAACGCAAGTCAGTCACCTGCTGAAGAAGCTGTTCAAGACACAGCTGCTCAGAGACAAAAAATGATGGCTGCTTCTTCTCTTTCTCTCTGCTGTTTTCTGTACAAAGCAGTTCCTCAACCCATGGCATCGGCAAGCACATCCATGAGAGACTTAAGCGGTATCAGTATCTCTTAAGCACTGGCATCTGACCATCTTTCACATCCTCCTGAAATGAGCCAACTAACTTGGTATTCCTCCTCCCAGCCTAGATTTGTTATCTCCAGTCAGGTGACAACTGAAGCAAACAGAAACAAAACTATAAACAAGAATGACAAGAACAGAGAAACAGAAGCCAAGAAGCTCAGAGCAGGCGCACACTGGGCGACACGGCCCTGGGCCAAGGATGGAGGGGACCCCAATGTGCACAGCACCACAGGCCTCTGCCTAGCACTCTGTCCCCTTCCTCACACACCTAGCTCGTAAGTTTCTAGGTGAGGAAACTGCACACTGCCCTCCTCAGTGGCACCCACACATGTTCTGTTCTTTGTGTCAGAAAGATTTTGTTTCTTTTTTCCTAATTGACATCTATCAACCTGCTCCTCATATCAAATGCCCTCATCAACTGCCCGTGTCCCCTACGCCCCCTCCCCGCGTGAGGTTGGGGTCCCTAAGCTCCAGACGCCTGTGTTCTCTGCACACCTGCCCCTCCCCCTGCCCAGTGTTGGACATGGGGAGTCTAATTCTTAGGGATGGCTTTCTCTCCAGACTCTGTGCTGCACAGAAGGAGGGGAACCTGGCTACTCTGACTCTGTAGTGCTCAGAGGTGTCCAGGCACTCACTGGATATGCACTTGGTAATGAAGCCAGTCCGTCCTGAGTTCCAAGTTGACTTTGTCTGCACATGCACGGCTGAATCTACCCAAAAATGCCATCCATAGAAGGAAAAAAACTGACCCTGGACATCTGGATTTATAATTTGAACTTACATTTTATCTTCTGTATTTCCTTTCAATCTTGGGTGAAGCCATTATCCCAAAATACATGAGAGGAAAATATTGTAAGTGATCTTACATTAATTAATTGAGGCTTCCAATAGGCTATAATCATAGGGCTGGTAATAATTCACAGGTCAGACGCATAAACAATCTTAACTTTATTTCCTTTACTGCAAGTAGAATGCCAAGCTATATAATTTATGGTGAGAAGAAGCTGGTCATGTGGTGGGCTTATAAGTGTTTACAGACCTGTCTGCAAAGCTGGAAGACAGCCAGCCCCAAATGTTAACAGAACCAGCAGAGAATTCCAAGTCAGAGACCACCCTGACTTCAGATAGAAGCCCATCTTCTGTCCTCAGACTTCCTGACCCTTGGCTGCACAGCATGCAGAGGGACACCAACTCCTCCTGGAAAGCTTTGTTTCCCACTTCTGTGACAACGCATCTCCTGGGCTGCCTTGGTCACCTCTCTCCATGTTCAGCTGCATTTACCACTGTCCGTTAGCACTGTCTAACCACAGCTCCTTGGTGCCACACAAAGGAACAGAGGATGGAGGCCCAGAGTGTAAATGTTAGCTCTGTCCTGCTATTTGCAGCAAGACCATGGGCAGCTGCTGAACTCTGCCTACTGTGTCATTTCTATCCACAAATACACAGTCACAACTCTTCAAGGTGTTTTCCCCTACACCGCTCTT